CCTCCGGCTGCTGGCTTCGCTCTGCTCGGTTGTGTGCGGGGCGGCAGGTGTGAGCGGGGCGCCTGCGTTTGCAGGGCAGCCTTCGGGGCTGCCGGGGGACAAAGCGGAGGACGGGCAGTGGAGGGGGTGAGAAGAGCGCGCGCTCGACCCATCCTTTCTCGAGTCTGGGGGTTCTGCCTCCTGTCCCGACCGGGAAGCGCGCACGTAGTAGGCCTTCAGAAGGCTCCTGTTGAACCGAATTGAAGGGGAACCGGAGAGAACCCCACTCATCCTGGCCCTTTTAGGGAAAGCGCTCGTGGGAGGTGGAGAGAATGTCCGAGGATTAGCGTTGGGGGGCTAGGGCTCCCCAAGGAAACGAGGAAAGCGAAGGGGGGAGTTAGCGTTTGTCAAGCAAGCCCCTGCTATGTGCCCGGCATCTAACTCTGAGGATGGTGGTTTAAGGGTCTTGCAATGTGGAATTGGCAGTTTTGAGTCTTCGCGTCCTGTGGCAGTGCACTAGGCAGGGTGCTAAAGGTGTGAGGTGGGCACACCATCTCGCTTCCGGGGAAACTAAGGTGGGCAGTAAAAAATGTGCGTCACCTACATTGACCAAAGGATCCCGGTTGTGCTCCATTCCCGTTCCCCTGTGAGACCCAACCTTGCAGCTCACCTGTCTGGGCAGCAAGAGCCCCTCCTCAGAATAAGGCTGAGGCATTCTTCTCCTATCTGTTCGTTTCAGGGAGGAGAGTTGAGAATAAAGGTTGAGGATAGCTTTTGTTGATGTTCCTAATGTGTACTCATTATGCCTCGGCATCATAAGCAGACCCTGTTCTTAGCAACCGCTCTCCTCCGACCCCCCACCATGAACAGACGGCTTTGCAGACTTTGCCTCCAGCTCATAAACTCCAGGTGAGGAACTGTGTGGAGACACTGCCTGTCCCCGCATGTCTGCTCCCCGATATGATGGCCCCAGACCTGAGACCGCTTATTCACACTTTTCTTCATTCTCTAAACCTCATTGTGAAAAAACTGTATTTGACCACAAACCACTGCCTTGAGGTGATAAATTGTCTTGTCCTGTTATGTTATTTAATCTTCTATGAAATTATGCTGTGCCTCTCCAACCAAATTAATGTAAAGCTTGGAGCTGGTGTCATCCTGCTTAGGGTTGCCCATAGCACTGATGAACCCTCATTATACATCTGTTCATCTGAACCAGAGCATCCACCTGCCCAGGAAAGAGGTTTAACCTTTCAGATCTGGCCCCAGCCTCCAGTAAGCGTCCACCTACACTAAAACCCAGGGTGTCAGAAAAAGCCCCCCCCCTTAATTCTCAGGCAACTCAAGGAAATTAAATGTTTACCCAGCCATTAAGAAGGGATTGACATCAGTCAGAAATAAAAACCTCAACTTCAAGATAATAGAAATGACTCAAGGTCACCAATTTCCTAAGGAAAGTAAGATCCCTAGGGTCCCATAGTCCCCAAGCTCTGAAAGCATAAAACTGAATATTACTTCTGTTGGGAGCTGGAGCATTTTGCCTCGGTGTTTAGAAAAATGTCTCCCAGGGCTCTAACAGTTCAGCTGGTAAGTTTTGTGACTCAAAAATCCAAGACGGATTGAGTGGTACAAGGTAGGGTGTATGTGCCCCCACATGTATACACGTACCTACACGCATTTGTCTGATATGAGAATAGATTAAGTCAAGGCAATAGGGCATTCATACTAGCGAACACTTCTGGGCATTCTACCATGACCTGTTAGTTGGGAATGTGTGTGTGTGCGGGGAGGGATATATAAAAGAAGCCATTTTAGAGATTATCTCATCTAGTTCTCATTTTATAGATAAACTAGAGGCCTGATGCATGAAATTCGTGCAAGGGGCTTGCCCCCCACCCCCACCAGCCACCGCCACGGCAGCTGCCTCTGCCTCAGCCCCCGCCAGTTGCGGCTTTGTCTGGGAGGTGTTCCAGAAGGATGTCTGATCTAATTAGCATATTATGCTTTTATTATTATAAACAAGCCAAAGAGGTTAGTTTATTTACCTCAAGCTCAGCCCACACCTTCCATTTTCCAGTTAAACCACACAACCTCTAGGAGAGGGGGCTGACAGTCTGGTTTGGAGAGGAGAGGATCAATCCCCCTTAAACTAACACCAAACAGCCCCAGCTTGCAGGGGCCCCACTC